TGGCATTCGCAGCTTTTGTCATTCTTGAACATGTAAACCAAGCCCACGCTTTCATGCTAAATTGGAGACCTCAAACGGCTTTGAATCAGAGAAAGAAGACACGCCTGTATACATAAGCCTAAGTTGCAGTTTCACTAATATTTTGCACCCTGCTATCAGTTGTGAGGCCATATCTTTCTTCCTTGCACTTAAAGGATGTAATCAGCTGAGCCTTGAAGATGTAGTCATAGCAACTGCCAGGTTCTTGGGTTCTTGGGCACACTAGATGAAATATTTGTCGAACTTGCTAATGTTTATGCAGTAGCGGTTTTGCCATTAGCTATGGGCATTGTCATCAAACATGAACCGCGTCCTAAAAGATTTTTGGGGATTAGTAAAGTTCGGTGCTGAAATCCTGTAGTCAGTTACTATTTGATTATTTCCAGGTTAAATCTTTCTAGACCGGACATGGGAGAAAGCTTTTTCGGTCAGGAATCAAAATTCTTCGGTGGAAAAAAATGCTTCTTCTTTAGCAAGGACAGTCGATTTTGAACTCCCAGTCAACAATGCATTTCTTGCCAAACATGCCAAATGGGCAACCATAATAGACACACCCAAAGTGTTTAGTCTCATGCTTCTCAATGAACAATTGCGTGGAGATGTAGGGCTTCACCATTGGCTAAGGGAGGATGATGATGCAACATCAAAAACCCGAGACAAGTTTTTTCAATACCGGGGAGTATAATGCAAATCGCATCCGAGAGGTTGAAGAATTAGGCTAATCGAAATATTTATTCTTTTTTTTTTTAAATTATTTTTCAGGGGCGTGGCATAAAAGGGGTTAAAAAGGGTTTTAATTTAATGCGGTAGGATGGAGCTCTGTTATTTTTAGGATTAATTTTATTTGGTTAGGACTTTCTTTATTAGCTTAAGGTTTGGAATTATGTGGGATGGAGAATTGATGAGATCAACGTGAGTTAAAAGGGTGATGTCCTGTTTTAGTGGGCTTGAGATATTTATTGAGAGATTGTTATGGGGGCTCACGTTGGGTTGGGAGAGGGAGAGATTTGGTTCAGATTTGAGAGATCACTTGAATTGCAGAAGGCCGGGGGGAGGGGAGAGAGAGAGAGAGATAAAGAGAGAGAGACGTGGAGGGAGATGCTCGTGTATGTTTTGGAATTGGACATTTTTGTGTAGAGTTTTTCTAAGAAACACGAGAGCTTCTTCTTCCAGTGGCTTCATTTATAACCATAGTCATTCTCTTTTTGTTATTGATTATATATTTGTTTGAGGATTGAAAAGAGGGTGGATTTAATTTCCCACCTTTCTTTCGCATTAAGTAGGATTCTCTTGGATTTTGCTTTTGTAAGATTGGGGTGACATCCCACTTTTTGTAAAGCTCCTCTACTTTTTCTTTTTTGCTTTTGTAAAAGTTGGGCAATGTGTCGCACTTTGTTATCTTTTATTTTATATAAACTAGATAGTAGGTAATATTTCTCTTTTTTTTTCGCCCACGGTTTTTAAACCACCTCTAGTATGTAAAGTTGGTATTGCGCCTTGTAAAGTCAATAAATATGTCACTCTTATTTAGAGAATTCAAGAGTGAAATCTAAGTTGTGCCTTGAGGATATGGGTATTGAGAGACACTCAGTTTCTTAAGTGACCCTACCTAACCCTGTCCTAGTGCATCAATCTGAGTAACAATTTATTTTTGATTTTGCATTTAATGCACATGTGTTTCGAAAGCTAGTCTGTTCGAGAGGCTGAATAAGCATAAAAAAAACCCTCCGGATAGACGTGGACAGTTTCCCAAAGTCCTCATCTATTTAATCTAGAGAAGCTCATTAGGTTTCTAGTCCCTTGGCGCAACTCCTTTCAAGATGGCTCTACATCCTCTAACCTCATGTTGTTCTGTCTTCCTCTAAAAGGAAAAAAAAAGATCTGCTACCTTTCCTTATCTCGGTTATCTTTCTATCTAGTTTGTATAAAAAACTCTAAATTATCTTTCCTTGCCTCAGTTATCTTTCTTTGTCTCGTCTTTGTAATTCTAGGAAATAGAGGCTTGTTATCTTTCCTTGCCCCAATTATCTTTCTTTGTCTAGTCTGTCTTAAAAATACCAAATTCTCTGTCTAGTCTATACATTAAAAATTCAGAATGTCTTTCCTTGATCTGTGTATTTTCCCCTGAATTTTTGTTTGTTTTCATTTTAAATGATGGGGAAATTCTTGGAACAATGTATTTTTTCTCTTTCTATAGTAAAATTACCAGATTTTTAAAAATGGTATAAGGGCCAATCTCATCCATGCTTATAGAGCCTAAAGGCCCACAGCGAGCTTGATAACCATCATCATCATCATCATCATAGCCTTTTTCCAATTAATTGGGGTCGGCTACACAAATCCTAGTTTGCCATTCTGCTCTGTTAAAGGCCATACCCTCAATGAGGCTATAAGTTCCCATATCTTTCTGAACTACTTCCAACCACGTTCTTTTGGGCCTTCCCTTTGCCCTTTGAAGTCATTCTATTGGAATTAACTCGCGTCTTCTAAAAAGTGTTGCACTTGGTCGGCGCCACACATGGCCAACCTACCTAAGTCTACTCTCTCATTTTATTGTCTATTGGTGCCATACTTAAATTCTCCCAAATAGATTCATTT